CATACTTGACACAGGATGTGAAATGATGTGAAATGGAGATGGACCAGTGCTGCTCCAGGCCACATATCTTTCACTTGCGACTCCGATTTCGGCAGACAATGAGGGCCAATACAGGGAAAAGAGAGCAGGAGAGAGAAGTCAAGGGTGAGCGAGCAAGTCAAGAGAGTGTGCAAGCACAAAAAAAGACAGAGCTAATCAGTGCAGGGCTAAAAAGTGAGCAAGCACAAAAATACAGGATGCGTGCAAGAACGAAGAAGAGAAGAGAGACGAGAGCAAAGACAAGAGAAAGAGAGAGCAAACAGAGCAAACAAGTGCACACATGCACAAGTGGGGGAAGAGAGACTAAAAGGAGAAATTAAGAAGAGAGGAAAGAAGAGAAAAAAAAGAAGATTCAAAGACACACACACACACACACACACAGAGAAAGACAGAGGAATTCAGCTAACCTGTGAGCACAGGAAGACGCCTGTTAGGTTGAGATTAATGACTTCCTGCCACTGATCCAGCTTCATACGCATCATCAACGTGTCCCTTGTAATGCCTGCCAGCAGGGATACGAAATGCAAGTGGATTAAAAAAAAAAAAAAAAAAAAAAAAAAACGTAACACAACAGCCAAACAAAAGGCAAGTAAGAATGCGCATAAACAAATGGTTTCTCCTCCTCAAGGTCACCACCCTTCATTCCATGCGACTTCCACAAACCTTCTCTATAAACAATACACACGCATCTCCCATCACACTGGCCACCAGTTCTTCAATCGAAGATATAATACAAAACGCATCCACTTAAGCACAGAACTAAACAGTCACAAGGTCATGTACACGCACCCAGAACTGAAAGTTTTTGTCTCGGAGAGGACTCCCTTACACTCCAAACCGAGAACCAACCTCTCGGCAGTGCAGAGTGCCTCTACAACCAACCTCACCAGAGGTGTACGAATGGGACAGAGGCAGGAGACGGGCAGCAGGCAAGAGGATGAACCACATTCAAGGCAGAGGAGAAATGGTCAATCATTCCACTGGTGTAGAGGTAATCTACGATTCTACGCGTGGTCATTCCTGGGCATGCATGTAAAAATACTAAAAAATAGTCGTATGAAATTGATAGCACCTAAAATTGAGGAAACATCTCAATAACAACCTCATCAGAGGTGTGAGAATGGGGTAAAGTGAGGAGACATGGAGGCAGGACAACACAGGCAGAACACATTTCTTGGGAGGCATGGGCAAAAGAAACTAACGCCTTCGCAGATGACCTCGTCAGCCATGGAGCAGCGGTAGGGGGGAACAGACAAATACGGGACCGCAGATCAATTTGAAATTGATCGAAGCAGATACTACACCTGATTGTGGGGGGGGGGACGGTTGTGTCATAGATAGTTAGATTGGGGTCATGCGTGTTTTGTTTTTTAAGGTCTCTCTCTCTCTCTCTCTCTCTCTCTCTCTCTCTCTCTCTCTCTCTCTCTCTCTCTCTCTCTCTCTCTCTCTCT